CATCAGTACGAGTACAGGGGTGCAACAACACTGGAGTCCAAACTTGGAGGCCCCTGCAAGTGTACCACTTCACCTGGGATCTGAACCCCGGCAGGTCCAAACTTTTCCGTGTCAGGGACAAGCTGGAGGACATCGGCACTGAGGAGGGAAACAGCTGGCTGGGTCACATTTACAACCTGCAGGGGTACATCCACTACCAGCTGAGGCTCACTGAGGATGCCCAGAGCTCCTTCTGCCAGGTCGAAAACAGTCTCAGATGAGGGTCCCTGGTTAGTGGTGAACTACGGGAACCTGGCCTGGTTGCACTACCACGAGGGAGAACAAGCAGAGAGTCAGGCTCACCTGTCAAAGGTCGACGCCCTGATGAATCCATCTCCATCCCAGGACGAGCTCCATCCAGAGATCTACGCTGAAACAGCCTGGACCTGATGAAGTTCAGCGCAGACAAAAAGCTGCTGGCTGCAGATTAGAGCCATCAGGACGCAGCCGGACATGGTGGAGTGGCACACCAGCCATGTGTTAGTGTTAGTCAGTGCTTATGACCACCACAACAAAGAGCTGGAGGCTGACATGAAAATCACCAGGGAACATGATCCAGAGAACTTACCTTGCTGCTCTTCACAGTGAGGCCTGCGCTGAGAAAAGGAACAAAGTAGAAGCTGAAGCACGTGAGTTGGCCAGAAGAGTTTTAAAAAGCCCGTCAGCAGCTATAGTGGCATCAAACCATTACTGAGGCTGTACTGAAGCCATGTATCTATGGATGAGGCTATTGATCTGGCAGAGGAGATTCTGGAAAGAAAAAGGTGCACTGCAATCTGCTACAAGATGAGGATCCTTCTGCACAAGGACAATCCTCTGGAGCACAGCATGATCAACAGAGCAGTCAGTCTGTGTCGGGAAGTGATCTCTCTTTACCCTCAGTCTTCAATTAAAAGAAAAATATTACGGACACTCAAATGACCCAGACGAAGCTGACCAGATATACGAAGAACTGCTGGGAAGTGATCTGGATCCTGAAGGGTCAGATGTTTTTTAACTACTATGCAAAGTATGTACATTTCATTGGAAAGGAGAGCTACAGGTCCATAGAATATCACATGAGGGCAGCAAAGATAGTGTTTCAGTCTTACTTTGAGAACAGCATCAGAATACTGGAGAGGATTAGAGACAGGAACAGAAACCGAACAACAGGTCCTGGATAACCTGCAAAACTAAGAGCCTGTAATACAGAGAGAGCGTCTTCCTGTACTGTGTTTGGAACCACACAAGCTCTAAATCAAGAATAATTATTGTAATTAAATAAGAATTAAATTAAACTCTCTCCCCAAACAAATCTGAGACTGTACTGATCCATCCAACGTCAAATCACTGATCAAAACTCACCTTAACTGCGTTTAATGATTTTAATAATACATTGTTGTTGAGTGTTGTAGATATAGCTGTCATTTCTCAGGGTGTTGTTTTTATTATCTTTTTCTTTTCCTTTTAACTNNATTATTATTATTATTAAATATATAAGTTGTTCTCCTGAAAATGTGCCTGTACATCATCTTACATTTTAGACAGTTCTGAAAGTCACACCTGTTTATTCAGCTGGATTTTGTCTCTTGCTGTGTGTGACGTGGTTCCCAACTGTTTTCCTGAAGGGACTGATGACCCCTGCCTATGTCACATATTTTATTGATGTTTCATATAATATTAAAAGCTTTTCAATGAACTCAAACAGCGAAGTCAGTAAATGCAAGACGTTTGTGTTCATACAATAATGCATACTTAATATATTTTCTGACAAACTGTGTTTTCTTGTCCTTGACACTTGTTTATTATTCTATTACACCTTTAAATGTACGTTGTTCTTTGCAGAAGTTGATCGGTGCTGAGATTAAAGATTCTGGATATTTTTAAGATTCTTACATCCCTTGAAATCCAGAGGCATCAACAAGCCTCATACACCACCACAGTTCAATAACAGCACACACAAGCCATTTTATTCTCATTTAGCACAAACACTTTATTAGAAAGAACAGTAAAGAATAGCATTTACTAAAGCTTTTACCGAACAAACAGACAGTTTGGCAACAAAGCACTGAAATAGACAACAATGGATTCATGTAGTCTGTGTAATAAAGGAGAGAAACTGATCAGCTGACAGTTTATTATGAGTTAGTATGAAGTTATTCACTATTCAAGCAGTCTTTTCACTTATTAGAATTCTTAGACTGACTTAAGTTATTTTACTTCATTTTATTATTTGTTACTCACTCAATTATAAAGTAAAGATATTTTTGCATGTTTTTCGGCCTAATCACTGCGATTTGATTAATTAAGTTAAATGATTTATCTTTTTGCAGCACTGTATATAATAAGACAGTAGTAAGTATAGTAAGTATTTAAAATGTGGAAGTGTCAGTCTCAGGCCATTTTATTTATTTTTACATGGTTTTTAAATGGAAGATTTGCATTTTTCTTAACAGGACTGAACGTAACGCTGCTGAGTTTTTTAGCATCTTTTCACATTTCACATTAAATGTAGCCTCGTGGCATCAGTGCTGATAGCGTGAGAGGTGGTTTACTGAAAATATCAAAACAGAACATAAGAAATCATTTAGGAATCAAACTGAATGCTGACCACCACACATCTCAAACCACACACATTGGGTAAGTTAGCTGGCCCTGCTCTGAAGGACATTCATTTGTTCATTTTTCAGCACACCTC